TAATGGGTAAGGAGTTGCTCTGCCAACCCAAGGGCGTGCAGTTTGAATCCCCCAACTGCTTGGAGGGAGAAAGATGTCTCCCCCTGTGTGACTTACAGCTTCTGAAAACTCTCTGGAGGGGTCGCAGTGACTTCATTCTGGCTCAGTGGCAGTAACAGTCATGTGGGAACTCTGTGCTTAACTGTTTGAGGTTGACCGCTGGCCTGCTTCCCAAGGACCACATTTTGCTTACACACTAGCAGAGTATGAGGGTGCCGATTTCTCCACATCCCTGCCAAGTGTTATTCTTTCTTTTTGTCTTAAAGCTATCCTGTTCTTCCTCTTGTTGTTGTTGTTATGTGCCATCGAGTCGCTTGCAACTCATAACGACCCTATGTACAAGAGCCCTAAACGCCGTTCTATCCTGTGCCAACCTCACCGTCTCAAACACATTCATTCCCACCACTTCACTCATGGAATCGATCCATCTCATCGAAAGTCTTCCTCTCCTGCACCGTCCTTCCATTCTCCCAAACATGATGTCCCTCTCCAAAGCCCAGTCCCTCCTTCCAGCATGCCCAAAGTATGTCAGACGAAGCTTCAGAATCCTTGACTCCAAGGCATGGGATGTTTGGCACTCTTCTCTAACACCACAACTCAAAGACATCAATTCTTTGTCATCCTTTTTCATCGTCCAGATCTCAGATTCATACAAGTGATTGAAAAGGCCATGACCTGAATCAGGTACACCTTAGTCCTCAATCTGACATCATTGCCCACTAGTAATTTGGAGAGCTCCCTGACATTGCACTACCCCAATGCAGGACATCTCCTGATCAGACTGCTGATACCGAGGGTATTGGTTATGGATCCAAGTATACTTACCCTTCTGGACGTTAACTGTATCTCATAATAGTTTTCATTTGCATTTCTCTAATGACTAATCCACAGTTTGTTTATGAGCCACACATTCGAATGGCTTTGCATTCAGTAAAATACAAGTAGACATTCTTCTGGTATTCTCTGCGTTCAGCCAGGATCCATGACATCAGCAGTTTTCCTGGTGCCACAGCCTCTTCTAAACCCAGCTTGAACTTATGGCAGTTCTCTGTCAATGTAGTATTCTAGTCATTTTCAGGTGACTTTCAGCAATATTTTGCTTGCATGTGATATTAATGGAATTATTTCCACATTATATTGGGTTCTCTTTCTTGGGAAATGTGAACAACTGTGGCTCTTCTATGGGTAACATTTAGGAGAATGGGAACCCCAGAATACTTAATTATGCTTATACAGAACCAAGAAGCTGTCTGAACAGAGCAAGGGGATATTGCATGGTTTGGAATCAGGAAAGGTATTCCTTAGGGCTGTATCCTTTCCCCAGACTTATTCAATCTGTATGTGGAGCAAATCATTGGAGGAGCTGGATTTTATGAAGGAGAGTGTGGCATCAGGATTGGAGAAGAGTCATCAGCAATCTGCTTTATGAAGATGACACAACCATGCTCGCTTAAAGTGAGGAGGACCTGAAGCACCTGCTGCAGAGGATCAAGGACTGCAGCTGTCAATATAGATTACATCTCAATAGCAAGAAAACAAAAACACCATTGGACCAATAGACAACAACATGATAGATGGAGAAAAGATTAGACTTGTCAACAATTTCATCTTGCTTGGATCAACACTCAACGCCCTTGGTACCAGCAGTCAGGAGATCTGAAAATGTATAGCATTGAGAAAGTCAGCTGTCAGGGACCTCACCCAAGTACTGAGGAGCAGTGATGTCAATTTAAAGACTAAGGTGTGCCTGATTCAGGCAATGATCTTCTCAGTCACCTGCAATGCATCAGAGCTGGATGGTGCATAAGGATGACAGTGGAATAATTTATGCTGTTGAGTTATGCTGATGGAGAAGAATGCTCAATATCCCACGGACTGACAAAAACTGCTATGTCTTGGAGAAGGAGCAGCCAGAATGCTTTTTAGAGGCAAGGATGGTAAAGCTTTGTCTTACATACTTTGTGCATGTAGCTAGGAGAGCTTATTCCTTGGAAAAGGACATCATGCTTGGAGAGGTAGAAGGTCAGTGAAAGAAGAAACACCCTCAGTAAGTTGGATTAACACAGTGACGGCAGCACTGGGCTCAAGTTTGTCAGCAATGATGAGGATGTCACAGGATAGGACAGGGTTCAGATCTGTTCTTCGTAGAGTTGTTGTGAGTCATATTCAACTTGATGGCACAAAACAACAACCTTGTTTAGTGACCATTCTGATCTTGATCATAATAGAACATCTGAGAGTAAGAGAGGTTAGAACAAGATACAAAAAAGCATGGGAAAGACCGTGGTCCGATAGAGGCTAGTGGAGTGCCCAGCTGTGTAGCCCAGCCCTTGACCTCTGGATCTTCGCACAGCGGTATCGGATCCTGAGAATCCCTCAGCTTGCTCTGCAGTTCGTGCTTTTCTTGTTCCAGAACCTTCTCAGTTATTTATAAATAGTCCCCTGGTTCCCTTCTGCAAGAACTCAATGTTCCCTTCAAGTGTAGAGCTTTTTTTTTATTTTCTAAAAAAAAGTATTTTAATTTTTTACTAGTTTATTTACAAAGTTCTAATAAACTTTAAACAAATTCTTTCCATTTCCCCACCCCCCTATCACATTGTACAACCCAATGATTAATCCCCCTTCCCCCATACATCCACATCCCTCTGCTTCCAGCCTCTCCCACCCCTCCTGAATCCTTATACTCATTCTACAACAATGGTTTTATACAATATTTATCCTTGTGGGACTGAGTTAGTTCACTCAACACAATGCTCTCCAGTCCCTCCCAAGTTAGGTAATAATTTACAAAGTTATTGCTCCTGCGTGCTGCATAGTATTCCATTGTGTGAATGTAGCATAATTTCTCAATCCATTTGTGTGTGGTTGGACATCTGGGCTATTTCTATGTTGAGTTTTTTTTTGTTTTTAATTTTATTATTTTCTCTGTGTGTGTGTACCGTCAAATCAGATGTGACCGGTACAGGAGATTGCCCCTCCTTCTCCGGCAGAGCATCTGGTGGATTTGAACCACGTATCTCTGGGATTGCAGGGCAGCTTCTTGCCACTAGGCCACCAGAGCTCCCCTTCCATGTTCTTGTGATGGTGAATATGCTGCTATGAACATTGATGTACAAATCTGTTTGTGCCTCAGTTCTCATTATCTCAGGGTATGTTCCAAGTAGTGGAATAGCTGGGTCATATGATGCACTTCTGCAGGAAACTGATGAGGACTTGCATCGGCCTTGTGCTGGCTGACCCATTTGGCTGGACATCCGCATCTGTGCCACCTGCAGGCCTGGTGAGAGGCAGATATGTGTCTGCAGGCCTGGCGAGGGGCAGTTAGGCGCAGCCTGGCCTTTCAGGTCTAACGCATGACCCCAGCCGCCGGAGGCTGGAAGGATGGCAGCTGTGTGACACGGGAGCTGACTTGTTCACAAGTTATTTTCCCGAGGCGAGAGGTACCAGGACAGGATAAGTAGAATTAGCAGTAAAGGAAAAAGCCCTACACGTGACAGCAGGACCGCAGGTGTAAGCCCTTTGGCCATACTTTAAGAACTTAAAAAAAACCCAACACAGATCTTTGTAAGCAAACCAGTATCAAATAAAAACTTCTTTTTGTTTAAAAAAACCCAACCAACTCTTGCACAGGTCTTCCTCCTGAGACCGGCGCCCTCTCCCTGCCTGTCCGTTGACAGGCTCTTGGGGTTCAGGACTTCCCTCCTTCATCACCCAGCTCCTCTGGTCCACAATGGTCAGCGTTTTGCCAGCATTCCCACATTTGAATGTCTGCTGTGGTCCGCTGGGCTGTTGGAGCTCCTGAGTGGAACAGATGGTTAACTCGCGGGGCTGTTAACCGAAAGAGGGGCGTTTGAGTCCACCCCAGGGATACTTAAAGGAAAGGCCTGCATATTGACTTGGGAAAACTCAGCCCTTTAAAACCCTCCAGGGCTGAGTTCAGCTCCTACTCCCATGGGGCTGACCTCAGCCAGAGTCCACGCAATGCCATCCAGTCACGGTTTGTTCAGGGTGGGTCATCTCCAGGGTGTTGCTCGCCCACTGTCTTCACCAGTACTGACCACACAGCCTGTGTGTGGACAAGCTGCCACAGTACAAGTGGACCCAACAGCAGTGGGTTTGGTTTGGGTTCATCTTAACCTCACCTTCCCCATAACTACCATGACTTCTTGTTGCTGTTGTTAGAGGTCATCGAGTTGGCTGTGACTCATACAGACCCTGTGGACAAGTCACCCACTGCGACTTCCTCACGGTCACTGCTGGCCCAGTGCCCACTGTTGCCCCATTGTGTCAAGCCATCTGCTCCTTTTCACTGACCCTGTCTCCTTGTCCAAGCATGATGCCTTCCTTCAGGGAGTGGCCCGTTGTGATAGCATACCCAACATATGCACATCTAACCACAGTTTATACTGCACAGCGACAGCCACTTCTCACCTGATGACCAGACACCTGACCCCATCTAAGGCCTCATGGGTTCTGAGCACTTGCCCTGCACCAGGCCCTAGAGTGCAAAGATAGGGTCTGGTTTAACTCACATGGCAGCTGGCCTCCTGGAGGGCTGAAGAGAGGTGGGGAGAGAGGACAGGGCATGGCCAGGGTCCCACAAGAACTCCTGCCCCATGGCTGAAGGAATGAACAATGAACGACCAAGTGTGTACACATCCCAGACTTGGAATTAAGAGAGAGCAGTGCATTCTGCTCAGGAAAGTCAGGAAGGCTTCTGGGAAGAGGCGGCAGCATGTCAGGGTTTGAAGACAGACAGGACACTCCTGGGAGAGGGAATGCTATGATCCAAGCGCAGGCGCAAAGACCAGGAATGGAAGGTGTGGTCACGTGGGTGCCTCCCTGCAGTAAAGTGCTGCGTGTTCAGCCAACTGACCCTTCTCCCACTGGCTTCTCCAGGCCTGTGGGGGCACAGCGGGCTGGCCACCGGCCCCCCTGAGTGCCCTCCTGTACTCCCACAGGTGCAGACCTTCCACGGCGACCTGCTTCAGCACATGGAGAAGAACACCAAGTTGGACATGCAGTTTATCAAAGTGAGTCTGGCGGGACCTCCTCTCCCCCTTTCACAGAGGGGCACACTGAGGCCAGCACCCCCAGACTCCTTGATTTCTATACCTTGGAGGTCTCCTTCCTCTCTCCACCCCACCCCAGGACAGTCGCCAGCATTACGAGTTGGAATACCGCCAGCGCGCGGCCAAACTGGAGAAGCACATGTCAGACCTGTGGCGCATGGAGCACAAGAGGGACAAGCACGTGCGGGAGATGAAGGTGCCCGAGCGAGGGGCGGGTGGGCGGACTGAGGGTCCTGAGCTCCCCACCATCAGCAGCCCAACCCTGAGAGAGGGGCTTGTCCCCAGCCCTGGTGAGCAAAGCTGGAGAGTCCATAACCCTGGGAGGTGGGGAAGGCAGCATCACAGGTCCTTGGGTCACCTCTCAGCTCTGCGTGTGTCCCTGTGACTTCCGGGTCTTCCCTGGCACCCCCTAGCCTTAACGCCTCCCACTGAACTCTCTTGCTTCACTGCGGGTACAAACCATCAAAGCGTTAAAGGTGTCAAAGGTGTTTACAAATGTGGTAGCAAAGGCACAATCCACCAGCAGTGCCATCAGCCTTCCCCTGGACAGTGTCCTGGCTAAGGCCTGTCCCTTCTCTCTGGTGGCTCCTTGACTCATTTCAGCATCTGTGGGTCTAGCAACCTATGGAGATCTCCATGTGTCTCGAATCAGTCTTCCCTGGGTCTAGGAGATCTTAGCACAGGATCTCTGGGTCCAAAGGACATGCTCAGATCCTGGCTCTTCTTCCTTGATAGTGGTCACCTTCCTGTCTCTCCTTTTATGGCTTATAAGATAAGATGCAGGCCACACCCCAGGGAAGCTCCTTCCATCAGATCAGGACTATGACCCGAGTCCACGGCTTGCATCTCACTGTCTTCTTACTGACCTCTCCCTTTCCATTAAATAAGCACATGCCTCCAGTCATTATTAATCCATGTTTTCATTTTCAACTTAACCCACCATAGGGCGTAGGGGACAGTAGCCCTGCTTGTGAGAGAGACAGAGCCCAGGCAGAGGATGCCCACAAGAGGCAGACCCAGGAGCTAGGCCAGGCATCCAGGGGCAGGCCTCTGGGAAGAGCTGACCAGGTCGGACAGGGATACTTCAGACAGCAGCACTCATGGAATGTGGGCTGGAGCACCCCCCAAACCCAGTCAGAGCTTCCTTCTCCCCCAGGAGAGTGTGAACCGGATGCATGCACAGATGCAGGCCTTCGTGTCAGAGAGCCAGCGGGCAGCTGAGCTGGAAGAGAAGCGGCGTTACCGCTTTGTGGCTGAAAAACATCTGCTGCTTTCAAATACCTTCCTGCAGTTCTTCGGCCGGGTAAGTGGGACTGGGGACGGGACATGGGACCCTCCAGGGCTGGGGATGGGACTGGGGCTCCTCAGGGCTGTGGATAGAACGTAGGGCCCCTCAGGGCTGGGGACGTGACGTGGGAGCCTCCAGGGCTGGGGACGTGACGTGGGAGCCTCCAGGGCTGGGGACGGGACTGGGGCTCCTCAGGGCTGTGGATAGAACGTAGGGCCCCTCAGGGCTGGGGACAGGACTGGGGCTCCTCAGGGCTGGGGATGGGACATAGGGCCCCTCAGGGTGGGGACGGGACTGGTGCCCCTCAGAACTGTGCCCCCTCTGTGTGATGGCTGCGTACGTACATTTCCCTCCGTCTCCTTTATTCCTTTTTTTCTGTAGAAACTGTCAATTTTACTTATCTGTGTCTTCAAACCTTTCTCCATTTCTGTATTTTTAACACCATATGTCTATTTATTACCAATTTTGTTTTATTCTTGCATGCACACATCAATTCATGCATTTATTCATTCACAAATAAACCACTTCTTAAATGCATGCTATGTTCCCCATTCAAAAATGTGTCAGTTTTTAGGGTTGCTCGTTACTGTGCATGAGTTTTATCACATTATTTAAATCCTCCGTGCTCCTGCTTTGCTCTGTCTGGTGGACCACTCAGCTTCCTTTATTTCCCAATGGCTCTTGCTTTCTCGATTTAATTGCCATGTTGTTTGGTGCATCTGAGGTTATGACTTAAACCTTCTCCATCAATATTGTGATGTATGTCCTCAGTGGCTCTCTTAATCTAGCATGATGTTTTTCATTCCACTTGTTCAGATACGACCACTATTCCTGCATTCTTTTATCTTTATCTTTTTTTGTGCAGAAACCGGGATATCTTTACCTCTTTAAGTGGGTTTTGTTTAATCTGACAATCTGTTTTTTCATAGAGGAATTCAGCTCATTCTCATTTAACACAGTAACTGATAAGCCTGCTCTGTCTTTGCAGATAATTTCAGTTAACAGTTATTCACTTTGTTTTCTTATTTGCCTTGTTCTTGGCATTTTTGTTGAATTACTGCATATTCCTCTTTTCAACTAATTACTCCGAAAATGCTAGTTATTTCCCTTTCTATTCATGATGTCTCTAAATGTCTGTTATTGGGTACCATCGAGTCACAACCAACCCATAGCTGACCTTACAGGGGGTTTTCAGAGGCAGTAAATCACATGGGAGGAGACTGCCCATCCTTCTCCTGCAGAGCAACTGGAGAATTTGAACCACGTGCCTTTGGGATTTCTGCATAACTTCTGACACTTTAGGCCAGGAGAGCTCCCCTTGTGACGGTCTAGTGAGACCCAGACCTCCCAGTCGCCCTCCTGCTTGCCACGCTGACCGGCCTGCCTACCTGGCCTGGCTGTTGGCTCCTCAGAGGGGTCAGATGGCACACAAGAACATTGGGGCCACCATCTCATTGTTCCCTTATAACTGATGTAGTATTTTGCTGTTTTCAATTGATTCGTTCATCTGGCAAATCTTTTTTTGCGCCCAGATGACAAGCCAGGCTCTGGCTCTGAGGATGAGGGTCTCGAGCCTTGTGGGTGCCACTCTGAGCACCTCAGGGCCCAGCCTCCTCCCAGTCTCCATCTCCTCCCCTTACCCATCCAGCCTGTCTGGCGTCACAAATGCAGCCCCTCCCCCCAGCCTCACTGCCCTGTCCATCTGTCTTTGCATTCTTGCTGTCCATCTGTCTTTGCATTCTTGCTCAGCTTCCCATTAACCCTGTGCTCTGGCTGCATAATGCAGAACGAAGGGTTTAATTTCTCAGTGTCTCGTTCCAGCACCTGTAAAATGAAGGAATCACATCCACCCCCTAAGGGCCCTACTAAGGGAGGATGGAGTCTGGTGAAGACCAGTAACATCTGGTTCTGTCGCCCTTATCCTCATCCCCAAAGGTGGAAAGCAGAGCTGCTGTTCAGGAAGCCAGACCACCCACAGTTGGTACCCCTCAGCCAGCAACATTTCTACCCTCTCCCCTGACTCAGCATCCCCACCCGTGATGTCCTGGACCAGTCATTCCTGTGACCCGAGGCTCCAGGCCTGTTAGTGATGCCTGAGCTCACTGTGAGGTTTTTAGTAGCTGGGCCAAATGAGAGGGCGAAATCATTGATACTGCGTGCAGACTGGGATCTTAAGCCAGTTACTTAACTTCTCTGACCCTCAGTTTCTTCTTCTGTAAAATGGAGATAACAGCACCTTCCTTCCAGAGCTACTGTGAAAATTAAGATAATGCAGGTAAAGTGTTTATTCTAGAAGCTGGCACCGTGTTAGGGCTCAGTGAAGGACTTTGCTATCTCTGAAGTGAAAGGCTGGAGCTGAGCTTTGGGAAAGGGAAGGTTTGGGTGGAGGAGGAAGGTCTCTAGCTGCTAAGCACTGCCAATCTATAATGGACCATCCAAGATCGTGTGGATGGTGTGGTCAGCCGAGATTCCTGTCCTTGAAAGTACTCATGCAGAGATGCAGGATGTTGGAAACCGTTGGAAAGGCATGTTTATGAATGTTAGGTTAGGCTAGGTTAGTGGACTTTAAGAAGAAATCAGAGAGAACGAGAGAAAACTTAATGCAGCTTTACTAAAGGCGGGGGAGCTCCCGGTGAGTTTCTCATCCTGGAGAGGCAGAATGGGAAGTCACACCGTGAACTTACTGGGGAGGATTTTTATAAACAGAGTTTTTAGGGACGGACATTCCATTCTGATTTACGAGCCACCTGCTAGCTTAGCCAGACAGGCAAGGTCATTTGCCCTCTTATCTGCAGCAGGCAAGGCCATCAGCATTTGAGTTCTGAATTCTTCATTCTTCTCTTGGCCCTCTTTGTCCAGACTAACAGTGAAGGCTACTGCATAGTCAGAAAGGCCTTTTTCTGAAAACCAAGTCAAAGTGGCTTAAATAGAAAAGGCATTTTTTAGTTACTGGGAAACTTAAGGGCTTCAGGTGTAGCTGGATCCAGGAACATAAAGGCTGTTAACAGAAGTGTGTCACTGTCAATTGCTGATTTCCTCTGGCTTCACTCTACCTATTTAGCAAGACACGTGAGGGTAAGAACAGGAACCCTGATGATGTACTGGTTAAAATGCTTGGCTGCCAACCTCAAGGTTGGTGGTTTGAACCCACCAGCCACTCAGTCTACTTCTCAAAAAGGTTTACAGCTTTGGAAACCCTAGAGGGCAGTTTTACTTGGTCCTAGAGAGGCACTAAGAGTCAACTGATTAGGCAGGTTGCATGGGTTGTGTGCTATGGAGTCTGAACTGACCCATATCTGGCCCTTCAGTGAGTTTTCAGAGGCAGTTAAATCAATCGCCTCTGATCAGGAGATTGCCCATCCTTCTCCAGAGGGGCAGCCGGTGGATCTGAATCACGTTTTCCTTATTACAACAGTTTCATGCCACTAGGCCACTCGTGGTTGTGTACCGTGGAGTCGGAACCGACGACTTTTAGAGGCGGCACGGTAGCCTGCCCTTCCTTTCTCCCTCAGAGCTACTGGTGGATTTGAACCTCACACCTTCTTGCTTGCAGCACAGATTCTTACCACTAGGCTAGAGAGCTCCCTAGACACCAGGGCTCCCAGGTTCAGTGGGTGGTGAGGGTGAAAGGGTTTCTTTCTTTTTTAAACTTTTATTTTATTATTTGTTGTGCATGTACCGTCAAATTAGATCTGACCGGTACAGGAGGAGATTGTCCCTCCTTCTCCAGCAGAGCATCTGGTGGATTCGAACCGCGTAACTCTGGCATTGCAGTGCAGTTTCTTGCCACTAAGCCACCAGAGCTCCCTGAAAGACTGAAAGAGTTTCCTTTTACAGGCGGTCCAGGCAAAGGCTAAATGCCGTCCTGAGCCTGTAACCGTGGCCAGGAGGATGGAGGAACTTGAGCCGTCAGTGGTCTTGTCCTGCACCCACCTCTGAAACCAGCGCCCTTCCGGGGCTGCTCCCCGAGTAGACTGGGTTGGGCACACACCTGGGGGAGCCAGGGGAGCCCAGGGCGGCCTCCGGGCTCCTTCGGCCCCCTCTCCTGACCCCTGTGCGCCCCCCAGGCCCGGGGGATGCTGCAGAACCGCGTGCTGCTGTGGAAGGAGCAGTCGGAGGCCAGCCGCAGCCCGTCGCGCGCCCACTCCCCCGGCCTGCTGGGCCCGGTGCTGGGCCCGCCCTACCCCTCGGGCCGCCTGACGCCCACCC